TCAGATCCCACATGAGGGCCAGTGACACTGCGCCCTCTACAGCTAAGATGGTGAACAACAGCTCAACCTGGAGCTGGGCTGCCATAAGTCGCCGGCAATGGCGTAGGCTGCAGTGGGGCTGGCCGGCAGCTGGTGTGCGTTTTTGTGAGTTGCCCATTAGCCGCCATCCAATGGCCAGCGAGCGACTGCCTCACTCGGGAAGAGCGCAATGATAATACCAACATGGGCCAGTGAAGTGACATCCTCCACTACTAGACTGAAGAACAAAAAAAGGACAGCAACTTGTTACCCTTCCCCGATTTCCCTATAAAATCTTTTAAAAAGATAATAATAAAAATAATTCATTATAGAAAAATAGGAAAACACAAAGCAGAGTAAGTCACACTCGATAGTAATGTTTATTAATCTTTTTATTTGCTTTCAGGGATTTTTTATGTGCTTATTATCTACATATATATTTTTAAATTGAAATCATACTGTAACGATATAATAATATGCGCTTTCCTCACTTAACATTATATTGTGAACATTTTTCTGAGGCAAATTTTCATAAACATCTTTGAAAACTCTTTTGGAAATACTGTCATTCATTTTCTTCTACAAACATGAGTGACTACCAATATTGGGTACCAGATGCCATAATGGTAAATAATAAGAGTCTTGCCCTCAGGATCTCCCTGTGAAATCAGCATTTCAGTGTAATCTGTGTTACGAGGGTGTGAGGTACAAGGCCATAGGAGGGGCACCTAACAGTCTTTGGAGATCAAGAAAGTAGTTCTAAAGAAAATACACTGGAGCAAAGACCTAAGGGAACAGTAAAGATCAAGTAGGTAGGAAGGATTGAATAAAGAAGTTTAAGAGTGTTCCTTTGGGAAACTGAAAGTAATTTAATACTGGCAGAATGCAGATATAAGGAAATGATGAAGCAAACACAGACAAGGTATAATGCTGCAGAGATAGGATAGGGAAAGATCATGACATGCCTTCTAAAATATGATAGTTTTAACTTTATCATGAGGGCACTAGGTAGTCATTGAAAAATTTTTTTTTAAATAACAGCTTATTAAGATATTCACATACCACACAATTCACCTATATAAAGTGTACCATTCAATGATGTTTAGTATATTTACAGAGTTGTACAGTCATCACCAGAATCAATTTTAGAACATTTTTATCACACAAAAAGAAACCCCATTCCCTTAGCACTCACTCCTAAATCCCTCTTTCTCTTACCCAGTGGCAACCACTAATCTATTTTCTGTGTCTATGGATTTGTCTATTCTGGGCATTTTATAAAAACGGAATCATACAATATGTGGCCTTTTGTGTCTCGCTTCTTTCTCTTACCTTTACGTTTCTAAATTTCTCCACATGGTAGTAGCATGTATCAATACATTATTTCTTTTTATTGCCTAATAATATTCCATTGTATGGATATTCCACATTTTATTTATTCATCAGTTGAGAGACATTTGGGTTGTTTCCATTTTTTTTACTATTATGAACAATGCCACTATGAACATTCATATACAAGTTTTTATGTGGACTTTGAAAGGTTTAAACAGAGGAATAGTTTATTCATTCAGTAAGTATCTGCTGAATACTTACTATGTACTGGCTGCATTCCAGGCATTAGAGATTCAGCAACAAAACAAAATTACCAGCAGCCAGATTATACAGCAGTTTTGTCTTTCATTTTCATCTTCTCTGATGGTCTTATTACCAAATTATCACTTAAAAATTAACTATTATTCCTGAAAATCCTGATTAAATACTAGGCTAAGGTAAGACATGGTGATTGGCATTTATAGCGTATTTCTTGTTACTGTAACTTAATTTTAATTACAAAACATTTTTGGAAAAATTGATTTCTACTGAACAATTATATGAAGATGACAGCTCTCACTTTATTCTTTCAACTTTTTTTGGGGGGGTAACATTTCTAAAAAGGACCAACTACATAATCAGAAAGTCACTATAAATAATATTACAATTTATCTTCAAGCAAAACCAACTGTAGCTTCAAAGAAGTTATAGGAAAAAGCAGTGCCTACCTCATTTCTATATGGCTTTACATATACTGTCCACTGATGGGTATGTCCATCCTCTTCTCTTTTCTTTCCAAAATATCGAGCAACATTACCATAAACTATTGGTTTAACGATAGTAACCCCCTAAAAGAAAAATAATTTAAACACCAATTAACACTGTATCATTACCTAAATAAACAGAATAAGAGCTCTGAAAGCTTAAGAAATGGCAGGCAATCTAACAACCTCAAGTTTGTTTATAACATGGATTTCTCTCAATAAAACAATTATCTTCATTTCATATTAATACAAATAACTAAACATCAGATTAATTACAATGTTCCCATTTTAAATTGTCTATTTAAAACATGTAAAGTACTTTGAGGGTTTTTCTGAAAAGAAACACAAAAGGCTCTTTAATCACAACCTTTAAAGCAAGGCTCTGGAATAAAGATCGCCAACTTCGACTGCCATCACCTGATGGTAATGTCCTTGTTTATCAACTTATGTCAGTGTTTTCCAAAGCACAGTACAAATATTAAAGGCAGTTTAGGGGAGGATTTCAGGTAGAATAAGAGCAAATATTTAATTATTTATGTGTTCACTTTAATCAGTATTAGAAAAACCATAACTACAACTAGCAATTCAAACCCACAATTTCAAAAATATTAATGCTTAAGAAGGGGCTTTTTAAAAATTGATCTAAATAAAAATGTTAAATATTACAGTTGGATTCAGATAATGATAAAGTGACACTTGGATGACAGATGCTTGTTTAACACTGGCCAATGGCATGTTTGCTACATTTGTGCTCAGTTCTGAGATGTACATACATGTTTCTCATCACATCTGGTAAGTGTAAATGCAGCCAGTGTTGACAGATGATGGAGAGAAAAAATTTCAAGTTAAGACAAAATGCTGCAATGTTGCAATGAATTTGAGACCAATTGTTCAATAGTAAGAATGTATCCGAAGGTCAAACAGCAATATATGCCACATGTGAAAAATGCTGTGCCAATGTAATGAACAATAAGAAATGAGGAAAAGCAGTGAACAAACGGAAAAACTTTAAATTGTGGCTGGATAGCTAACAGATCCAATACCTATTAGCCTAAAGTTAGTTCAGAAGAAAGCAAGCAGTTTGTATAAGAACTTAAGTAATCACAGTAAGTGTCTGACACTTTTGTGGCAACCATAGATGGGGACTTAGGTTCAAGGCCTGAATGAATGAGTACAAGGAGCACTAACATGGTAAGTGATAATAGATCCCACAGTTGCTACCGTGTTGGTAGGAAGTTGCGGAGTTCCTCAATGATAAAAAGGGGGCTCACCTGTCAACAGACTTTCTACCTGGATGAAATTTATCTAAATTGGAAAAAGATGCCTACAAGACCACATACATAATAACTGAGGAGGAGAAATAAGGCCCTAATTTTAAAGTTTTACATGACTAATTCACACCCCTCTTTGGTGGAAAAGCATTTGAGGACTACAGGCCTAATCTCCTCAAGTTACTTTGCATTTAAATTTACAAACTTTTAGAACCTAAGATGATTACAAGTATAGAAAGTTCTTTAAGTTCTTCTACACAATCTGTTTTAACCCTATGTTTGGTAATCCTTTCCTATGAGTGCAAAACCTTGCCCAAAATGCTGGACAAAATGTGTATGTTTATGAAGCTTCCCTAGTACTATGAATTTTAATTCCCCTTACATTAAATTTCAGTAACTTTTGACATTTTTTAAGAACTCCTACTTGACATGTGATATTAAAGCACTGCGTATGACAGTTGTAAACACAGGATAACCAGTCATGTACAAACAATATGACATAAGTAAAGGCTCTTTAAACACCTGTAGTGATTAGATTGGTGCAAAAGTGGGTGATTTCTTTTTTTTTAAATGTCCTTTCTGCGATGAATAAAAATCACAAGGGGTAATAACAGGTGTTACATCGGGAACCAGTGGGTCCAGCCTTAATGTAAGAAAGCGTGAGGAAAACGTGCCACCGTGTCAAACATTATGTTAGGCTTCATGATATCTTAAAAAACAACAACAAAAGAAGCTAACGTTGATGTTCCCTTTGTGCCTTGGCTGTAGCTGCGGGGCTTTGGAAACACCGTGAACTTGGGCAAGTTTTCTGACCTTGCCTACCCCCTAGTTCTTTAGCTATCGCCCTTGTAAATACTGTGGATAACACTGCCTTTCTAAGGTGGCTGTAGGGACTGAACCAGAGAATCGGGTCAAGCTTTCGGCCACTGTGCGTGACACCGCACGCGGTGAGCAAGTATCAAATATTTGCTACTGTTACTATCGTCACAATCAGGCGGGTGGGTGGCACCCCCAGCTTCCCGGTGACCTGAGCTGGCAGCACCGCGCCAGAGTTTCCCAGCGCTCGGAGTGGATGGTTTCCTCCACAACAACGGCCAGCTTTCCCCGCCACCGGCCGCTCGGTTTGTTTTTTAGCGGGGATGGAAGGGAGGTGGTGATGCTGTGCAGCTGGGGCCCAATGAAACACTGACTTTCCCTCCCTCCGAGGCTTTGACTCGCTCTCCGCCTAGGAACCACGGTTCACGACGGAGGCGAGAAGGCGCGAGAGGGAAACAGGAGGGCCCTCCCCGACGCAGAGCAGGGAGGAGCCGGGGCGAAGAGAGCCACTCCCGGGTGCGAGGCGCGGCCCGGGCACTGACCTTCACTCTCCCGCCGGAGTCAGGCCCAAATTCGGCCATTCTCTTGAACATATTGTCCTACGGAAGAAGCCGCCGCCGCCAAGGAAAGAGACCGAGGCCGGCGGGGGTCGCCGCTCCCCTCAGAGGCCCCGCTCTTCCTGTGCGGACCCAGGCGGAGGGTTTCTGAGCGAGGGAAGGCGAGTCACTGATGCTCGCCGAGACGAGGTATCGCCAACGACTCGCCCCGGGCGCTCTCCCAGAAGCCCATTCAGCCCCGCGCGGGTGGAAAACGGAACGGGAGAGGCGGTGGCGACGCTGTGCGCAGGCGTGACGAGTGCGCGCGCACTGCGCACGCGCCGGGCCGCTGCCATGCGGCTGGGCGGGCCTTGGTAGGCGTGAGTCTCGGGTTAGCCAGCCGCTAGTCCGTTTAGCTTCGGAACCGCCGAGTAATGGCTTTTGGTGGTAATACCTTGTCATTGCCAAAGCAATTCCAATTCTGAAATCAAGTTCATGAAATTTAGTCACTCATGCACAAGTTTTCGTTGTCTTCACCCAGACCTCAATGCTTGAACTATTTATTATCCCCTTCTTTTCCTTCCTTTTCTACTCAGTTTGGTGAGTAGAAGTCCAAGGTGCATGACTGGATACAGACCTCCCGCCCTTCATGGCCCTTCTGCGGGGTCCTAACTGTTTTGTAGATTAGTGCAGTGCTAAATTAATGGTCTTCGATTTAATCCAAGTCTTAGGTGCTGGCCAGGGGTTGTCTCCTCTTTTTTCTATTTGAAACTGGATAGAGCTATTCTGAATGTTTCCCTACTTTCCTCAAACCTCCAATTCTGACACCCATCCTCTCGTTCTTATCAGAGAAATCTAAAGAACACCCTCCCCACCCCCACCCCCCAGTGAAACTGACTCAACCCAGCTAGATCATCCTTCAGCAAAGTACACATGGTCAAATCCACATAGGCCCGTACAACTTCAAGTTAATTTTGTAGTTTCCCACTCCAAAATTTAATTAGATAACCAAGGATTGCCAAATAACAAATGCCTTTAATATCAAAGATATAATCCAAAATAAACAAAACGAAATGGCAGATTGAAGGAAACAGAAGTAAACTAAAAACAAGCCCAAATTATTATCACATTCAGATAAAATAAGAAATAGTAGTAGGGCCGGCCGAGTGGCTCAGTTGGTTAAG